GTTGGAATTCCACATGATCATTCAACATTCTTAAAGGCATGCCCCAGGATCACATTGGTGTGGCTCTTGTACACGAATGCGAATGTATTGGTGCGAAGTGGGCCGGCAGTAAAGAAAAAAGGAAAAGAATCCGTCGAAAACGCTTAGGTTAAGGGCTCACTCACCTTCCTAATCGGCTGTGCTAAGGGAATGAGAGACTAAGCGCGGAGAGGAGAGTATGAGGCGAGAGAGCGCTACAGATGAGAGAGCGCCAGACAACAGCCTGATAAGAGAAAAAATCTGCAGCTTCAGCAGCTTACTTTGCAAGGCCCAAGCGCTCTTGTCGGTTGGTTTCCGTGCACGGAACGCCACATTTGTGATTGTCCTCTAGGGTTCTATACTACAGACCGAAGAGAAGCGTTCACACGAACCTGGGTTGTGCCTTTAAGGTTTTTAGGTTTAGTGTAAATAGAGTAGGGTGTTCTCTAAAGCAATATTGCGATGAGCGTTTCACTCTTTGTTAGAATTCATCCCAGAACGAATTAAAAAAATCCAAACTATTTTTGGGATGCAACTTGAGTTGGCAAAAGTGTAGGTCACTCACTTGAAATCGTGTCCGGGCAAAAGTTGTTCCCGAAGAATTCGATCTCTCGCTATGAGCACGGCCGACGCCGCGGTTCTGAAACTTATTCATTCGTGAAGAAGAGATACGCTCAATACTTTTCACCTCCTCCCGGAGGCTTCAATCAAGCTGTCGTGTTCCAAAATATTTCAGTGGCTAGCAAATTTGACAGTCGCTTCGATTCTGCCGTTTTCACCACCTTTTTCACTTCAACTTTCACAGATTGAAGTTTTTCATTATAGACCTATGATTATACAGGAGCACAGCAATGAATGTTCGGCAGTTTCGATTCGGCAGTGCGATCAATGCCCTCTCCTGTATATTTATGCAAGGCACATTTATTAATTCCAGTAGTGCTCTTCTTCTTTCCCGTGAGTCCAGAGATGAACGCACTTCAATACACTTTTTGATAGAACTACTTTTGTTGCTGTTTCTTCTTTTTTTGCAGTCAACCTTATTGACAGAATTGCATCAACACTTGAGTAGGAACGATTTCTGAAGCGAAGGTTCGAGCAAAAATGAACATTTCTACACATTTTGGGGACTATAAATTGGTCATCATTGGAAATTAAAATGCAGATGGTAAATGGAGTACTTTTAAAGAAAACTAGTTTTTTAGTTCTTAGGAAAACGACCCCATTTTTGATCATTGACTTCCGCGATGGACGGTCTCCTACGATAATGAGTCAATAGTGCAAACGTTTTCCTTTGCCTCGCTGCCAAGAGCAACCCTAGCGTTGGTACTATGTATTTCAAAATTTCCATGACTTTCCCCTCTATCAGAGTTCTTGATAAGACCCCCTTTACTTATTTTGGGAGACCTGTGTGTATGTATGTAAACATTAGTGCCAACAAATTCATTTATGGTATATTGTCCCCAATTCTTGAATACATCGAAACAAAGGAGTAGAATAAGGGGAACAGCGGTAAGATCACAAAGTATAATAGATGAACCTCGGCAAAATAATTCGAGCTAAAGAAACGACCAGACCTTGGGGAAAAGGCGGCTTCATGACGCTCCTCTCTATTTCGAGTTCTCATATTGGAAGCGAAAAAGGCAACAAGAAACCAACCGATTTTTGAGCAAATGATATCATCCAATCAAGGATAAGGCAAACAATACCAAAATGTGTTATAACTTTTCAGAAGCTTATTTTGAGAAAAATAGCATATTGGTACTTTTTGTGTACATGCAAGTTTTCAGTCTCCAGACCACAACTACTTTCTTCGAACCCATTCTTTTAAAAAACCTAAAACAGGTCTTTCAGAATAATGGATTGGAATGTATGAAAAACCCTGAAACTCAAGCTCTCTGACGTGTGCTAAAAAAATTTTGGAAAATGACTGATAAGTGAAAACCAAGGTCGTGACAAGGTGACGTCAACTAGCGCCAGATGGCACCACCGCTAAAAATAAATGTCGTTTTCGTAATCAGCATATCAAGACCAAATTACCCCTATGGGCAAATTATGCTCTTCGCTATATGCGCACAATTGCGTTGCACCAGCGGAGGCGTTTTTGCGTGATATCTTTCGGAAATTAGGGTAACTCCTTCTCAAATACTATGTAAAATAATATAAAAATAGAGTTCGAGAAGAGAATTGTGCAACTCACTTATATTCGACTGTAACCAAGTGGCTTTCGATATCAGTAGTGAACATCAAACCAATGTTCAACACTCGACCGCATGTAACAGGGAGGAACTGAAATCTTAATTAGTGTACAGCGCACCACCTTCTTCAAATCAACGAATACTTAGACTTCAAAAACCGGCCTCGGTGGCTGATGCAAATTCGAGAAAAATATTGAATAATCCTTCTATTTTATAAAGCGCTAACTTTGTGTGTCGGTTTGTATGTATGTATGTGTGTATGTATGTATGTATGTATGTATGTATGTATGTATGTATGTATGTATGTATGTATGTATGTATGTATGTATGTATGTATGTATGTATGTATGTATGTATGTATGTATGTATGTATGTATGTATGTATGTATGTATGTATGTATGTATGTATGTATGTATGTATGTATGTATGTATGTATGTATGTATGTATGTATGTATGTATGTATGTATGTATGTATGTATGTATGTATGTATGTATGTATGTATGTATGTATGTATGTATGTATGTATGTGTATGTATGTATGTATGTATGTATGTATGTATGTATGTATGTATGTATGTATGTATGTATGTATGTATGTATGTATGTATGTATGTATGTATGTATGTATGTATGTATGTATGTATGTATGTATGTATGTATGTATGTATGTATGTATGTATGTATGTATGTATGTATGTATGTATGTATGTATGTATGTATGTATGTATGTATGTATGTATGTATGTATGTATGTATGTATGTATGTATGTATGTATGTATGTATGTATGTATGTATGTATGTATGTATGTATGTATGTATGTATGTATGTATGTATGTATAACTTGTATGTATGTATGTAACTGTAATGGTTTGTTCATTTACTCATCTTTTCGTTATTTCATTATAATATCTTTAGTGCAGGATGAGCATATAATTTATCGATTTCATGACCATTTTCCTCTAGGCTCGACGCCCGAAAGAATGTAAGCGTAAGGCGGCGGAGGAGTTAGATCGTTGATAAGGAGCTGCGCATGTGAACCGTATATAAGCAGGGAGGATTGAACGTCAGAACGACGGCAGCTTCAATCGAGGACCGTCTCCTCCGCGTTGACTGTATTCCTTCCAAGTTATCGAGCGCGTAGACCAGTTACTTCGGCTGATATTCTTTGTGTATTCGCTGTTTAACCTTTTTCTATATCCGGCAGTTAACATTGGACGATTTGGATTAGTTTAGTGAGTTCATATAAAGGTTAATAAATATTAGTTTAATCAAGTTGATTCACTTCTTGTCTTAACCCGCGTGGCACGTATAGGGAAAAAGGCGGAGCGTGCGTAGAAGTAACATGTATGTATGTATGTATGTATGTATGTATGTATGTATGTATGTATGTATGTATGTATGTATGTATGTATGTATGTATGTATGTATGTATGTATGTATGTATGTATGTATGTATGTATGTATGTATGTATGTATGTATGTATGTATGTATGTATGTATGTATGTATGTATGTATGTATGTATGTATGTATGTATGTATGTATGTATGTATGTATGTATGTATGTATGTATGTATGTATGTATGTATGTATGTATGTATGTATGTATGTATGTATGTATGTATGTATGTATGTATGTATGTATGTATGTATGTATGTATGTATGTATGTATGTATGTATGTATGTATGTATGTATGTATGTATGTATGTATGTATGTATGTATGTATGTATGTATGTATGTATGTATGTATGTATGTATGTATGTATGTATGTATGTATGTATGTATGTATGTATGTGTTCCGCCAAAATGAAGTGAGTGAGAAGGAAGCTCATGGGATAAACAAAACCGCTAACAGAATCATGTAGCTCACAGGACTTTAGCTATTAGTGTTTTGCAATGGCATGATTGTGATAACACCCCAACGGCTACATAAACACCTACTGAGGTCACTTCCAGTTATTTCACATGGTGCTGCGGTGGCAGCTGAAGAGTGGAAGTGGAGAGGAGAGGAGGGGGGTGAAGTGTTCGAGGAGGGTAGGCGGGAAAACCCCCAACAGGCCTAGGATGCAATTAGCTTTCGTGTAAGGTGATTTTAGGCCGTAAAGCGTACGCTGTGAAAGAAGGTCCCGGCGGTTGACGGGGGACCAACCTGGTTATATAATATTTGCTTGCTCTTATTGTTGAGGCGAGTATTTATGTATTAGGCCATTCATAATGTTCCGTCGTGTCGTGACTTGCGTACAACTCTGGTATCAAGGGCGCCCTCGTCGCGAGCCGCGCCTGGTCCCGGCACGAATGCCTCGGAAATGGCTGACGGCGTCAACGATGCCATTCATTCGTACGACGAGAGGACAGAGGGGAACGCCTCCTGCGCGGCTACGTCGGAATACGTGAGGCTACGAGCAGGGGTTACGCGGGGTGACAGCAGAAGACGAAGTCGAAGGCGCAGAATGATTTGCGGAAGTGAGCCAGACGACGATATATGATATAGACGAGCCATATCCAAGCAAGTGGACCCTATGCACTGGGCCTTAGTGATCGAGCCTCACTCGCGCTCGCCTCTACTCTGCAATCCCCGTAGTACATGCGGTTTGGTACGTGGCGCACACTTCAAGTTGATGTTCATTAAAGTTAAGAATTATTATGAAGATTCTCGTCTTCATAAGCAATGCTCATACCATTTCTAACAAGGCTTGGGTCTCCCTATTCACTTGTATGACTACACGCGCGGTGCACTTCGAAGTTGTGCTGGATAACACTACGCAAGAGTTTTTGCTCGCATTCCGTAGATACATAGCGCGTAGAGGTACGCCAGATATGGTGTACAGTGACAATTCGTCCACTTTTCCTGCCGCAGAAAGCGCCATAACAACGGTGCTTTACTTTCCCAAATCATGGAATCAGTATCAAACTACTGCGCGAAGCGCAAAATAACGCGGAAGTTCATAACTCTTCTTTCCCCCTGGAAAGGAGGATTTTATGAACGTATGGTCGCTCTATACAAAACTGCGTACAAAAAGTCTGTCGCGACCAGGTGCCCCGAGGTGGTGGTGGATGAAGCGCATCGGTGGCGGAGCACCGAGGACACGGCAGAACGGGTATTAGAAGGGCCCGAACACCCTGTCCTAGGGGGATGCGTCGCGTAAGGAATGCTCTGACGACTGTTGCCTGCCGCGAGCCTGGTGAGGCCCTCTCCCCTATCTGACGACCTTACGACCGTGCTGCTAAAGATGTGTACATATTGCTACATAACAGAACACTAAGTATTAAGGTGATTTATGCTAATATTACAATAGATTGCGAGACTACGTTATATAGAAGGATAAGAGAGATGGGAGAACCTACGGGCACGAGAGTGGTATGCGACCGATCCGTTGGCTGTCGTAGATGGTGTTGACGGCAGCTCCAACCATGGCTGAGGACTCCACGGACACAACCGCTCGGCGAGACGACTGGACGACGACTGACAGACAGACGAGCGCGGGCCAAGGCAGAGATGCAGAGCACTTCCCGCACTTCTGGATGTTGCATGCGTTCGAACCATGGGAAAGTGTCTGCGTCCGTGGGAAGGCGTAGTATTTCGTCCTCCGAGGCGTGAGAACACTGGAGCACGGGAATGTATCGGCGCATACCTTGCACGTTGGAAAGGTCGTGACGAGAGTCCAGCTTTCCCGCCCAGTCCAGCTCCAGCTTAACCAGCTCCAAACTATAGTCGCTGAGATAGAGTCGTCAATTCTCGTCCAATTACCCCTTTCCGGGGAACAGACGCGTTCGCCTATGTCCTAAGGCCTATAGATTTCATTATGCCGTCAGCATATGTACAGCTTCCACCATTGCTATCACATCCGGATCCAATTTACGATGCGTCTCACAATCTCGTAGAGTGGTATAAGGATTTGCTCACACTTCTTGATCAATTTTGGGAACTGTGGCATTCCGCATACCTCTCTGCGTTGAGAGAACGGCAAGAAATATGCGTACGTAAAAACAAATATGTCGCCTCAATTACCACAGGTTGGGGACATTGTGATCGTCGCTGACGATAAACTTGTTCGAGGGCACTGGCCCTATGGCCTAATAGAAAAGCTACACTACGGTAAAGACAACTGTATTCGTTCCAGCGGATGTTCGCATGCCAAGCGGTAAACGCAAGGTTAGGTCGCTAACACAACTGTATCCATTAGAAATACGTGCCCGTTCAACTTCTTCCGGCATTAACACTACTCCCAAAGCATCCGCTCCTCAACGCATACAGCCGCGAAGGGTAGCTAAAACATCGCACAAAAATATACGTAACACGTCAAACGTGTAAGACCAGGCTAATACCGCACTGCTCAACTCAAGTCAATAGCGCTGATAGCGGTCGCTCACAACAGCACGCTCAATTCAATCTTACGTTGCCTGCGCGCGGTCGCGTAGCGTACCGGCGCGAAATGCCGCTGTTCGAACATCGTGATCAATCGGCACATCCTTTCATCATAGATTCTGTGATTTTCGCTCCAGACGGGCCGTTCATCATTTCCTTTAATTTGACTGGAAACATGCTGCAGCGTGTTCAACGCTTATATACGCTGTGTGGACAGGATCAGAGATCAACTGGTCGAGTACCCCAAAGGATACTCGACCAGTTGATCCACTGATAGAGCCTTTCAATTACGCTATGGTATACTCACGCGTAGGCTGTTTTTTAAAGATATCTCGCTCAGAGCAATTATTTCTAGAGGATTACTGTAAGTCTAGTAACTTTCACAGATGATCTTTTTCTAACATAGCACTCGGTTCCCTTTTCAACAGTTTTTGAAACGTCACGTTCTTCGGAGCTCATTCCCCATGCTTTATCCTTTTCTTATATATAATAATAACTTGACAAAAATTACAAGCATCTTTCCCATTCAAAAAGTCAAAGTAAACAAGACAAAGTATAAAACGCGTAATATTTGTGTAGAAGTTCCTTTTTATCACTGTCAACTCCTCCGCCCGCTCCGCACTTGTTGGAATTCGTTATCTCATGCATCACTTCGTGGCAGTGTTTTTCGCCAAGCGGGATTGACGGCAATCTTATCATTGCCTTTTCAGGTAATTCTTTCGAGATAAGAGGCCGCCCGTCTCTAAACTGATCGTCATGCAATCACCATCGAATGCTTTTTCACAGCCGAATGTCAGGGAGCTGCAACAGCCGCACCCTTTGGAGCAGGCACACGAAACCGCTTCCTTGTCAAAACCATCCAGTGTCGTTGGGGCCCGAACCTCGTTGAAGCGCATCTTGGACGAGATCTTTTCTACCATGGACGGTCACGAGTGTGCGGTAATGAAGCGCGGCAGCGAACAACTGTCCGGACAGT